CTGTTGCATCTTGGTCAGAAAAATTACCCCAGTATATAGCATGATTTTTATTGAGAAAGAAAACATTTTTTACATACACATACACAAACATGACAGATTGATTTGAAATAATGAGAAATGCAAAAGTAACCACCCAAGGGACTTCATTAAAATGGTATTTATATGATGGATGGAATATTTTTTATGGATCGCCAAGTCTTACATTTGACATATTTATTTGAAAAATAATGATAATCCGGTAGTACTATTGCAACCAAAACATATTTATTTAAATTTTTTTTATAAATAGAATGCTTATTATTATTTTTGTATCTAAACTAATGAATCTGCCAAAAAGATTGATTAAAAGGTGATACAAGACAGGTGGTCTTTATACACAGATTGTTCATACATGCCTTGGAGCTGCCTAAAAATGGTCACTATCACAGGTTTTTCAAATGTGAAGTGCCTGGATAGTTGCATTTCCATTTTTCTATCCAAAGAATATTGTCACCTGTACTGTACAGAAGTATATTTTTTGATTTTACGATAAAATCATACGCTTATTTTTTATCAAGTTGCAATATCAAAGAAAATACCCTAAACAGGCTCAAAAATACTTGGTTATCCAAATGGCTGCTATACATTTAGAAAATTAATTAAAATTACAATGATTCAGTCGTGGTTGCAATTACACTCATAAACCATACAAACTGTAACATTCCAGTCTTACCAGCTGGTTTTCGTCTCTCTTGGGAAATTCCAACTAACATGCAGAAATTAAAAAAAGAGCAGGAGGGGTGGTAACAACACATAGAAATGAAGAAAGAATGAGAAATTAAACAACACACATAAGGAATTTTTACAGTAAAGCAAACCTACAAACTTTAGGAGGGTTCTGAGTTACACACAGTTTCTGTTCGTTGTGTGCGTCTGTGTGTGCGTCTGTGTGTGCGTCTGCGTGTGCGTCTGCGTGTGCGTCTGCGTGTGCGTCTGCGTGTGCGTCTGCGTGTGCGTCTGTGTGTGCGTCTGTGTGTGCGTCTGCGTGTGCGTCTGCATGTGCGTCTGCATGTGCGTCTGCGTGTGCGTCTGCGTGTGTGTGTGCGTCTACGTGTGCGTCTGTGTGTAAGTGGTCAGATGAACTATACAATGCAAAGCAAACAAACAATATACGGGGGGGG